TTATTGACTGTACTATCTTATTGAAATAGAAAGATAAAACATTGCTGTGGTCACTGGTTAACATGCACACCTGCTTGGATGCACCTGGGACGCTATGAGTACTCTGAAAGAACTGTTAGGATGTAGTTGTTATACTGAGCTTCTGCTCTTAGCCATGAGAGCTGGCAAAGGATCATGTTAACAGTTAGGACCATTCTTCTAATAGGTTTATAAGTGTTTTTTGAGTTTTATTATTGGGGGAGTAGAAAATTCCTGTTTGTGTGTTCATAAACATGTAGTACTTTCTTAATGACAGTCACTTTTTCAGTGAGAACATTGAGATATTCCAACCCGAGATGTAAGACATTGGGAATGTGTTCTTGTCTATCTCTAAGAGGTTGGAAAGTAACTTTAGAATAATGTTGACAAATGTTCAGTTTCTGTGAAGGGAAACAATAGAATGTTTGTCTGATGGAATTCATGCTACATTGGTATATGAAGTATCTTTGAATCTTAAACTCGTAAAAACTGGGAAAATAGCAAGCTGATACAGCTTTGGATGAAATTTAGTGTAATTATGTTTTATGGAGTGTAGCTCATGCTTCCTTTGCACTCTGTGCAGGTAAAGTTAATCAACTTCACATGGCTTGAAGTTTAATACAAGTACTTGCTTGAATAGGAAAATACTTCAGTTGATTCCTGAATAAAATGTGCTTTGAGAACTCACTTTTTTTCACATTATCTCTACCTACATGGCCACTGTGTCTCTGCAAGCAGTACTAATTCCTGTGAAGGTGCTGATTTAACAGAAACTGGACTATTTGGCAGAGTGATTAGCAGGTGAAACCAATATCTAACTTAAGAGAACAGTAGAAGTGATAAGCCCATCATGTTTGGAGTCTGGGAATACAAGTTAAGTAAAATAAAATACCTTTGAGCATTTCTTTCCTCTTTTGAAGTAAGAAATGAGAGCAAACTCTCAGGGTAGAATCATTACCCACTGTGTTCAATATGGGTTTATCACTTCATTAAAAAAACCCACCCAAACAGCAAAGGTCCTTTACACACAGAAACTTACTTTTCCCTCATCCATTAAAACTTGTTTTAGTGGTCCTAGTGCCTCCTTCCTCTGATGGTCAGAGACTTCTGCCTGGGGGCTCACTGACTGGTTTGTGAAGCTGTGTCCAGACAGGTATAGCATTGCCTGAAAACTCCTGGAGGTATCACCTGATAAATGTCTGACCACCTCTGATGCTTTGTTCACGATGGCCTGCAGAGGAACAAGTGCAGGTTCTAGCATGAAAATTGTCCCTCTAAGTTGTTTCACCCTGCAGATAACAGGCCTGTCTTCCTACACATCATTGATTTAATTCCACCCAGTCGTTCTCTGACTGGTTTTGTGAACTGCAGCTCCATCTGTACCCAACCGTTTGATCTAGTAGGCTGTGATGAGGGTTTGGTACTTGAAAAACCTTTCTGTTGGAACTGATGACAGTGACTAAACAATGATTAAGAACCACTTTCTTCATAGTAGTACATCTTCACTAGAGTAGCAGAGTACCGTACATAGAACAAAGGGTGAGTGTGTAGGTGCATCTTTCTTCTCACCTTCAATCTGCTCGTGTGAGGTCCAGTTTGCCCCGGTAACCACTGGTGGCACCATGAAGCGTGTAAGGCAGGCAGTGGCCCGCTCGGTCTGGGTGTCATCCTGGGGACTGAAAAAAATCCTTCCTTCCCCAGACAAACACCTCTAACCTTCAGGGTGGCATCTTTGAAGCTTGTGTTCTCTTTTGCCTTGTAGTTTTGGTAAATATCCCCATGTCTCCTCCCAAATCCTGATTAATGGATGAAGTGAGGGGCAGATCAGCAGTACTGCTGAGGTGTTTCCCTGCTGTTCTCTGCCAGTCTTCAATCTGTCTTCACAGAGCATCTGATACTCTGTTTTTATTCATTCTACATTGTTTGGTTTGCTCTTGGTTGGTTCTTACTTTTTTAAAAATTAAGCATTCAGGCATATTAAAAACTAAAAGAGATTGCTCCTCAGCACAGGCTCCCAGTATGATAGCAAACTGTTCAAAGTTACTGCTTTCTCCCAGTTTTCTTAATCTAAAAATCTGATGGATTTAGTAAATCCAGGCCCAAAAAAGTGAGATAGAAATCTGTTCCTCAAGACGTATCTGGAGCCCAGGAAAATCAGTTTCTGGTAATGGGAAACTTTGAAAAGAGCTGAAGCTATTCAGAAGGATCTGAAAAGTGTACTTATGTAAAGTCATGGCTTCTCTCAGAACCTGAAATAACGAATAAAAGCCACACAGAGGGTGGAAGCAGCCTCTGAAGTACAAATGTCCTGGCTAGAACAGGTACAGAGACAAGGCAGCAGACAGACCTGAAAATAATTAAAAATAACCACCTTTGCTTAGAGTTAAATTCTCAGTGAATCAGGCTGATTTAGCTGTGAGACAGGAGGGGACAGGTAACTGCTGGTAGCTGGCATAAGGTCACTGGACACTTTCTAAGGAGGATACGATACAGCAGTTATTTTCAGCCTTTTTCAATTCAGAGACCTTTTCAGAGCAAACTTGGTTCAGATCTGCTGCTCTTTCGTGGTCACTGGGAGCTCACTGGTCTAATGGACTGAAAGAACTGAGGAACAGATCAGAGATGAGAGTCCTGTGCATCTCATGCAAAGTTCAGAATAAGGAATGGGATCTATTTCTTCTTGGTTTTAGCTTTGGAGAATTGAAGAAGAGCAAACATGTTGAGTAAGGCTGAGGTGAGCTGTTATAAAACTTTCAGGATATGTTTCTACATAAAATCCATCATATGTTTGGGCAACAACCTCAGTTGTTACCATTGAATAGGGTGTGATTCCAGAAATAATGGTAATGTACGTCCTGGTATTTGCTTTATGCAAGAGGGATGTTCACATGTCTCCTTCCCAGGAATTTTACTTTGGATGGCTCTGTGTAGAGAATCAAAACAAATTGTAAACCTGTAAACAGAATTTATGTAAACACCGTTTTCGCAATACATGTGATTACTGCTTAAAAAAAAAAAAAATACAGGGCAAACAAGTTCTGTTATATGAAATTTAGGGTGGCTGTTTGTTACTAGTTTTCATTTATGAAAAGTATTAATTAAGTACTGAAGATTTCTTTCCAAATAAAACTTGTATTTATTTATGGCAAAGTCACTTGAGAGGCAGGTGAATTGTGTTTGTGGTTACACTTGAATGATCCATATCTTACAGGAGAGCTGTTCAATGATTTTTCTTTTTCCCATCTTGTCCTAGTACATGTGTTAGTAGAGATCTGTTAAGGGATCTGATTATATAGCATCTGCTTCCTCATCTGATGAAAGTGGAGATTTAGGGGTTTTTCAAGGTTTTATACATTTGTGATCCAGAGCGATTCCCGGGTCAGCATGCTTTCATGTGCAAGGGCTAATTCATATTGCAAGGGGAATGCCAAGAGGTACTGGAAAGGCAGGAGGGAAAGCATCTACTCAGGATCATAGTGATTCACAGAGAATTGTTCTTCCTGTAGGAATAATAAACTCATTCATACCATGTACGGTTGGACTCAATGATCTCAAAGGTCTTTTCCAACCAAACGATTCTGTGATCATGACTGAATTGCATGTGGCCTGGCAGTATCTTCTTACCAATGTTTGCGTGAAACCTTGTTTCTGTGTGTTGCCCATCCCTGAAGGAAGAGTTCCAACATCATTAGTGATGTGCAATCGCATCTTTTGAGTAAGAGAACTAATGTTGTTCTTTCACAAGTAAAAAGATCTATATGGTGAAGCACTCAGATGTTACAGAAAGATTGTAGTCTCCTCATCTTGCTTGATTCCAGAATATGTTTAAAGAAACTTTCTCTACTAAGAGAGAAAATGTTTTGTGGCAGAAACAATTGTGATTTTCATCTGGTTTGATTTCTTTTTAGTAACTTAATGGAGCTGCTTAAGTGAGGAGCTGTGCTTCTGGCAGGAACCTGTCTAAAGACGACAGCAAACCCTATCTAAAGGAGAGTCAGTCCAGTAACCCAGAGCTGCCCTCCTGACAGGCCCACGTTCTTTCATTAGCTGTGGGCAAAGGCTAGTGACTCATTACGTGTCTGTAGCTAGATGAGATGAATCTGGGCATGTGACTCAATTTCTGATGGGCAGGAGAAATTGTAGTGCTCTGTTAGGTGATAAGCCATAACAAAATGGATTTATTTGCTATTGGAAACATCTTCAGAGTTGGTGAGTTGACTTAAACTGTTTTTCAGCTTTGTGCTTTGATAGGGAACAAGCACATGGTTGTGGTGATTATAGTTCTTCGGTTAAATCTGTTGGTATTAAAGATACAAGGCAACCATGAAAGATGTATGAAGAAAATACTACTTTAAATACAAGTTTAATTTCCTTCCCTGGAAGTGTTCAAGGCCAGGTTGGGTGGGGCTTTGAGCAACCTGGTCTAGTGGAAGGTGTCCCTGCTGATGGCAGGGGGGTTGGAACTGGATGAGCTTTAAGGTCCCTTCCGAGCCAAACCATTCTATGATTCTTACCCTCCTTTGAGAAATCACAGGATTGTTTGAACCTGTTCTACTCCCACGGAGCTAGGTGCTCTTCCAGGACTGAATTATGCCTGTGTGGACAACTAAGGCAGTGGTACTAATAACTGGGTGCTCCCAAGGCCCTAGTTACTCTCCAACCCAAAGAAGAAGCTCCTGAAGAAAGTTAAAACATAACTGGAGTGATCAGGGTGGTAATTTGCAAATGTGATGTTGAAATAATGTTGTTAGTGGTATTGTGTGGTGCATAGACTCTTGCTTTTATAAAGTATTGCATGAGGATTCAACCTACAGATTTTTGAGTACAAGTGGTCATTAATGTGTGACACCTAGCTTGCCTAAACACCATAGTCCTCTCTTCAAGTTTCATTTTCAGGTGCATCATTTAGCAAACATAGTAATATGGAATTTTTTTCCACATTTTAAAAAGATGAACGAAATGTATGAATTCCTGTTTTTTTAGGAGAATTACTGAAGTTTGGATTGCTATCTTGACACTATAAACCTGCAATAAGTGGCAATGTCAAGGGTTCCCACTCCACCTCCTCCTGGGGAGATGTCCAGTGGACCTGTGGCTGAAAGCTGGTGTTACACACAGGTAATCTACATAAATTCCAGTGACTTTATTTCCTAGTCATAATAATTTAAAAAAAAAAAACCCAGAAATAAAAATCTTGAGTTCTCCTGACAGTCTAACTAGTTCTCATAGTTAATGCTTGATATGTAAGTTGAATTTTATTGACATTTTCTACCATCTTTTGTTCAGGTTAAAGTAGTAAAATTTTCCTACATGTGGACCATTAATAACTTCAGTTTTTGCCGAGAAGAAATGGGTGAAGTTTTAAAGAGTTCTACCTTTTCATCAGGGCCAAATGACAAAATGAAGTGGTAAGATCTTTACTTGAGCTTTATTTTTAGTTGAGTTTTTTTTTTCCACACACAAAAGTTGCAAAGTTAAGTTGCCAATAAATATTAAAACTCAGACATTTCTTGAAGTTTTGCTGTATGTACAGATTGGTTCTAATTTCAAAGTTTCAACAGTCATAAGGGAAACTTTTTTTTGCTAGCATGTATCATTGCCTCTTTAAAATATTTCTGAATCTTTTCTAGGTGCAATTTAAAAATGCACAATTTCTGCATTTCTTTCAGGTGCCTGAGAGTGAATCCAAAGGGCTTAGATGATGAAAGCAAAGACTACCTGTCACTGTACTTGCTATTAGTCAGTTGTCCAAAAAGTGAAGTCAGAGCAAAATTCAAATTTTCCCTGCTGAATGCTAAAAGAGAAGAAACAAAAGCAATGGGTAAGGGAATCTTAATGTATTGCATGTGGGTTTGGAAGAACTTCCCAAAGAAAATCATAATTGAGAACAGAATTTATTATTGAGATAAACTTTAAAATATCTTTTTTTTAATATCCTTTTAGAAACTTAATTAAAAACCTTGTGTTGATGTTTCACACATTTCTGATCACTGAGCTATGTTAATTCTGTCCTGAGCAGTGTAGATTGCAGCCCGTTACTGACTGCTGTCACTCCAGATTCCTGTCACTTTGCCTTTCTAGCAGATCATGCTTGCTTCCTGTTAGTAGTGGTGTGTTTGCTTCTTTCTAGCTACAGTGGAAGTAAGTGTTTGATTTCTGTAGTTAATTAGGACGCACATGCATGGTTGATTTTTTAGACGCTCCTTTACAATGTTTTGGTCTATTTCATCTGATTTACACTGTAATCAGTTTAGAAACATGAGCCACGTACCCAAGGAATTAGAAGACTTTGAAATAATTGATTATTTAATTGCTGTCTTGATATAGAAAACGTATGACTCGGTTTCAAGCTTATAAGCACAACCTTCATTGGAAACCCTTCTTGGGAAAGCTGGAATCTCATGAAAATGTCTAATTTAATGCTGATCTGCACTGAGTTTGTGCTGTTCCTAGTCCTGCATATGAAGTATCTGTCTACTTTTCATCCCTTCTCTTAAGATCTCTTAAGAGATCGTGCAGGGTCTGTTCTGTTGCAAGTTCTGAATTTCTAGGAAAAAGCTATAGTTCTCCAGGGGTCGTACCCAAAGCTCATGCTACATTTTCCTTATGTAACTAGACCCACTTCTAATAATTAAAGTAAATCCACCAAACTAAGTTCAAACCTAAAAGTTAAATGGTTGGACTTTTTAGAAGGAAAATAAATGTGTGTATTTCACTCTATTTATCCTCTTCCATTGATGGAGTTGGTTGCTTCAATCCCTGCAAGCCTCCTGGTTCTGGAGCTTATATGATCAGTGCTACACTTTTATATATTTGGTGGATCATGGCTTTTGACTTGGGACCGACTTGGAGTCCAGTAGTGGATTGGTGAATGTATTTTGAGATAATCATAGAATTGCAGAATTGTTGAGGTTGCAAGGGACCACTGGAGGTTGTCTAGTCCAAACCCACTGCTGAAGGCATGGTCAACTAGAGCAGTTTGCTTGGAACTTGTCGTCCTTTGAGTATCGTCAAGGATGGAGACTTCACAGCTTACCTGGGGAGCACATTCTAGAGTTTAACTAGATGCTGCTGGTTCCCTTTTGCCTTAGAGGTTCACTGCTGGCTGTGTACGTGAGTTTAAAACTGTTTTAAAGAGGCACTTTAGTGCAACTTACACAGTGTACTGATTTCCCAAAAAATGTATGAGAGCTTTCTTCCTAATGCTGTCTTAAACGAGGGACACGCAACGTAGGATGGAAGGATTTTGTGAATCTGAAGATTATGTGCCAAGTGGTACTTTAAATGCCAAAAACCACAAGGTGCTAAAACCCAAAAATCCTATGAGTAGATGTGTCTTCAATTTCTGCACTAGTTGCTATCTTGTATTTGGCACTACAGGAATTATAAACATCTTTTAATTTTGGAAAATTACCAACAGAAGTCTTATTTCTTGGACTTTCCAGCCATTTACCATCTGCTTCTGGAGATGCTCTGTTTTTATTTATACAGTATAATGATGCCCAACTGTAGATGTCCTTTCTAAATTGATAATTCATGCATAGACTGCTGCTTCAAGTGATGAAGCTGTGTATAAAATAGGTAACAAACTAACATTTTAACTTTAGTAGAAAGAAGAAAAATACATTTACACTTTTATATGGCTTTATTTTTGTAGTTTTGTATATTTAAATTGTTACTGATAATTTAATTTCAGAGGGTTAACACTGGTTCTTGCTGATAACAGTAACTGTAGTATAGAGAAGTCACTTCCCTGATGTCTTTGTTTTGAATGCTGTAGAAGAATGCTGTCTCTCTCTCTATATATAATTAGCAAATCTATTGGATTAAAAAAAAATTACTCTCGTAGCTATGGCTAAAAGGTAAACATAAATAATATCTCTTTATGACCAAAGAAATAGTTTGTTACTTGAAGGCTTTTATTTCTGTTTTGCTTTTTTAATGCTTTTCTCTATTTCAAAATAACTTCAACCTGTGAAACAAGATTTTTCATTTCAGGAAGAAGTCAAAACAGATTGTTATGACAACTGCAGAAGTGTGGTCAGAATATATTTGTGGTGACAAATTCATTGTAATGATATTTCCCTGTGAACAGTTTTGTTTTTGACACACTGGCATTCTTAAACATTAACTGAAAAACTCCTCTCTTGCTGGATGGTGCCTAAGAAAGCGTCTAAAGAGATTATATGGTTTGAATTGCAAATTGTGTTCTACTAAGTTCTATCAAGTGTTTTATAAAATAGCACTATTATTTTATAATAATATAAACCCCTTTTAATCAGTTCTGGGTTTCCTAAAAATGTGACATGTATGATCTAAATGTGTTAAACTGATTTATTTTTGGATTAACATTTAGCTTTAATATAGAATTTTAAGTGTTATTATTTGTTACTGTTTTTATTTAACTTGCTTTATTTGGACATAACTCTTTTTTTTTTTTTAATCAGAAAGCCAAAGAGCATATCGATTTGTGCAAGGCAAAGACTGGGGTTTTAAGAAATTTATCCGAAGAGATTTTTTACTAGATGAAGCTAATGGTCTTCTACCAGATGACAAACTTACATTATTTTGTGAGGTAGGTATTGTTTTTTTAAGTGGTAAGCTATTAAATGTCTTCCGCTCTAATAAATAGAGGTTTATGTGGATTTAAACAGTAATATGTTATAAAAGTTGTCTTCTGTAAACTATAAATATGGTAAGATAACACATTTACTTGCTTTGTCTGCATTGTATTTTGGTTTTTCATAAACATACCCTGAAGTGTAGAATAAGTCTGAATTGATCACTTGTAAACTGTTGATTTTCTCCATAAATGATCTTCCAGGATTATATTAGAATCGATTACAGAATTATTTATGCAAAAGGTGGCTGATATGTGCTGTGTGTAAAAGTAATGTTTTACTGAGGTTACTTGTTTAAAGAAGTTGTACTTGGAATTACAGGATTGTTTTTCACTGGATAAGCAAAAGGAAATAGGGAAATATCTGCATGCTGATTTGCATTATTAAAAAAAAAAATCAGCTAACTGTCAGAATCTGTATTCCTGTGCTATCGTAATTTATGGCTTTAACCCATGAACAGATCTTTCAAGTAAATTAAATACTTTATTTTTATAGTAGTTGTTAAATTTTGTTTTCTGTACAAGTACAAATATCCTGTAGAAGGACCACTTAATGCTGAGAATTATTATTGAGAGCTATGGTATAAATTTAACTTCATGGTGTATTATGGGTCACTTTTATAATATCAGTTACGTTGGTAACCTAAATTGTCTTATTAAAATTCAGTAAAATGCTTACTCAGTGTTAAAAATGGAAACTTGAGAAAGTTGCAATGTAAACACAGTGTATGTTAAATATATATTGGCCAGTTGTCTTTGCTGCCATAAAGTGATTAGTGGCTTAGGAGGATGATAGATGCTCTAACTGCTAATAAGTTTGCTTTGATCTGTGTATTTACAGGAAATGTGTAAAATTGTCTTGGCAAGATTACAATTTAATTATATGTCATTATGCTGTGTAGGAAGAATAATTGAAATGTGGCCCCTGAGACTAGATACTGCAAATATAGTGCATCTTATTTTCACTTAGACAAGTTAAATTAGCTGCATGATAAATTTGTTATGAATACAATTATTTGGGTGATAAAAGCAGATGTAACAAGTGTTTTATGGTTCTGTAAAGATACTTTTGAATATTTTCTCATTTAAAGTTTTTGTGGAAATGAATACTGCGATGTTAATAAACAGCTCTTAAAAATAGTGTTTGGTTTTGGAAATAGGTCACTATCTAATTTTAGAGATAAAGTTTGTTTAAAAAAAACAACCAACCCAAACAACCAAAAAAACCCCAAATAAATTGAACACATACTGAATTTTCCAGAGAAAAATGTTATTTAAATTTTAATGCTAATCTTTAAATATAACTGTTTTCTTACAAAGCTTCTTGATGTTTTAATGTGAGTGGATTTTCTAAAGTGTTTCCCCTGATTATAAATGCTGAAGGAAGTACAACATTCATATGTGCACAGTAAGCATGTTAAAATAACTTCTGGCTTGTTTCAAACTAAAGCAAAAAAAAAAAAATCTATTTTTAAAATTTGTTTATTTGGATGTGTTCTCCTAACTCTTCAGCTGTCATTAGCAATAACAAGTGTTATTTGAAAGACCTGTTTTTATAGACAAGTCTGAAGTTTTTGTTCTTTTAAAACTTAACTGTAAGGTCTAATTTCTGTGTGTGCCTTCCTACTTGTATCCTAGCTGGAAGACCAACTGACTGCTTCTTAAAACTGTATTATATTTGTCTTGATAAAACTTGCCAGATACAGCAGGTGTTTGGTAAAGGTCACTTAGTATCAACTGTGCTGGTTGGCTCTTTTCTCTCTTTTGGGTTGCAGAAGGACTATTTGGTCTTCCTTGGTAGCAAAGATATTCCTTCTGTGTTGCCGAATGTTCTTAAGATCTGTTGGTTCTGTCCTTGAATTGGAAGCTCTGAAGGTTATTAGGTTAAATACTTGGCAAAGTCTAATGTTGCCACTGACAAGTGACCTATTCAGCTTGATTTAAATACATTTTAAAAAAAAAAAAGGGAATGTGCTTGACTTCAAGCATATCACCTGGACAAGTGAGATATGAAATACCAGACCCCTGTAAGTGTTTGTATTTAGGATCCTTAAAAATTATTAGAACCTATAGACAGTACATGCCAGGCCATTCAGATGTAGATATGAGTTAAAATTTTCCTTGGGTTATATCTTAAAAGGCTGGTTTGTAGCAAATTGATGTGTTTCACAACTTTCTGTATATGGGAGACCATTCTAAAACAGCAGAAGCTTGGAACACCAGAGATGAGTTTAAGTTCACATGAAGAATGTGTAGATGACCTTCCTAGGCTCTGTATATAGCTAACAAGAAGATGCTGTGCGGACAACTTTGATCACGAACTCTAAGTTGAGTCAAGTGTCTGGAGAAGCAGAGTTCTCTCCTTTGACAGCAGAAGACTGGCTTTGTTAAGCTAAAACTCTGTGTGTATGTATATCTCCTGAAATCACTCTGTGTGGAAACTGTGAAATAGCGTATCTCATAGCTCTATAGATATTTCAGTGTTGTCAATGTATAGTCTTGCTGTGAAAGTAGAATTTTGCAGTGCTTTGGGGTATTTTTTTTTCATTTTAAAAGGTGGAAGAATATAAAGGAATTTCTTATAATCACAAGGGGGTATGGGATGAAACAGGGAATTAGGCAATGATTCAAATCCCCAAGCTGCTGTCTTAATTGGATCATCCTCTTCTGATCTGGAGTTTGGTTTGCAGTGCTCTGACTTTCTGTGAAGCTTAGCTGTACTATTTTTGCTTTATGCCAGATTTATTCCAGATGCTGTGCCTGTGGAAATCAAACAAAGCACTGATCCTAACAGTATCAGCATTTTCTCTTCATATATAATCCTAATTTTCTCTATTTGCAAGATGCAGTGATCAAGATCTTGTAGAATGCCTCTCCTTCTTTATGAAGGTTTTATTCTCAGGCATATGCTTTCAACAGACATAAAACCTGCTGAGCTCTTCTGTTTTCCTAACACATTGATTAAAACGACTTAGTATGTAAAGATATCTGAAAAAAGCAAGTAAGAATACTACTGTCCTGTTTATTTCTTATGTGAAAGACTTAAACACAGGGAATAATGGCAGTGTATTAACTTCAGATACACATATTGCACAGTTTTCTTAATTAGTTCTGTACAAAAATTACATCCTATGAGCATGCATTTCATTACTGAAGTTACTTACCTACTATATTTTATACTTTACTGAATTATATTTCTAAAATAATGGCTTTTTATCTCGTTTGGAAGACAATCACTCATGATTCCTGCCTCAACTAGACACAGTAAAATGAAATAATGAAGGAGCTATGTCACTTGCACTTAGTTTGCATTATCACATTGCAGGTTGAGTATGGATTTACTGTAATTAAAATTAGGAATATCATACTATTCCAAATTTCTGTGGATTATTCTTAGGAAACTCTTCTGTGACCTTGTGAACTTGATGATCTGTTCAGAATTTTATACTGTATGTATTTTACTTGTATGTATGGAGAGTATTGAACTGTTAATTTATCTCTGAAGTAGCATTCACGTTTTTTTAATCCCCCTGACATCCTAAGAACAATACTTGTACTTATTTACTTTTTAATTTCTATCAGGTAGCGTGTGGTATTATGCACTTTCTTTTTATTTTGGTTGGATAAATATGCAATGTTAGAGTCTCTAAATACTTAAAAGTAAGCTGTAAAGCATTGGTTTATGATTCCAGCCTAATGCCCCAAACACTACTGTTTTTTTGCTTTGCTTTGGAATTGCTGAAATTCTAGCAATAGGTACTGTAATTTAATTATTATTGGCATTCAGTTATGAAGGAGTTGTCTTGCTGTGATTTTCTGTTAGGTAAGCGTGGTCCAAGACTCAGTAAATATATCAGGACAGTCTAATACAAACACTTTGAAGGTACCTGAATGTCGACTAGCAGAAGATTTAGGGAATCTCTGGGAAACAACAAGATTTACAGATTGCAGTTTTTATGTAGGAGGACAAGAATTCAAAGCTCATAAATCTGTCCTTGCAGGTACTTTCTACTTTTGTATTGCTATTCTTTTGTAATTAAAATTGCTAAAACTTTAAAATTTGATTATATTTATTTAATATTACTTTTCTTGCTACAGCACGATCTCCAGTTTTTAATGCAATGTTTGAACATGAAATGGAGGAAAGCAAAAAGGTAAGCCTTAGTGTAATGTAAATATGTTACATTGTGAAAAAGGGAAAAGTTGCAGAAATCCTGAAGTGTTGCAAATTGAGGAAGATGAGTACTGCATGATGGTGCATGAGTGGAGGAGGTATTCTTCCTGAACACTTTCCCCATGAGCTCTGCAGGAGTTTCTTTGTGTAGAAAGGGCAGAGAGGGCCAACTGTGGAAAGGTTCTGGAGGATTTGTTCTTTCATGTACTTGTATCTGCCCTAGATCAGGGTTGTTGTTGGTTTTTTTAATATTAGCTACTGATGCAATTGACCTTAGTAACCTCTGCCTCTTTCTGTTATGGTTCATACCCTCATATAAGCTGATTGACTTCACTAAGGTTTCGCTATATTGTATTAAAACATTTTATATGGTAGCTAGAACATAAAGAAACAACAGGTGAATTATGACTCAAATTAACCCCTGAGGCAGTGAAGCACTCCTTTTCATTCACCGTGTCTACAGGCACTTGACCTGTATAAGTGTGTTGGATGGGTAGTTACTTAATCAGCACAGAGAGCTGCTTCTGCTTTTATGCACTTGATGTCTCTCAGTGAGGAGGTGTGAGTGTTGTTCATGAAAAAGAATATCTAAAATAAGTTGGTTATAGGCAGAATCCATTGAAAGGCAAGTAACTGATCAGCTCGCTGAAGGGTTGTAATAGATGATCATCACTTAGTCTTGGAGGCTGCAATGGTGGTACTTATGTGAACAAATATATCGATTGAATATGGTGCCGTGTTACAACTGAGTTTCACAAACATGGCGTTTTTCTTCCCTGCATTTCTCCAGTCTGGAAACTTTCACAGGTAGAATTGGAATGTTGGAACATTTTATTGGGATTTCTGGACTGAGAGAAACCCAGACATGTCTCAGCTTCAGTAATGTGCTGTGTTGCAGGCCTTTGCCTTCATGTTAGCAGTGAATCACAGAATGGTTGGGGTTGGAAGGGACCTCTGGAGATCATCTAGTCCAACCCCCCAATAAAGCAGGTTCACCTAGAGCAGGTTGCACAAGATCATGTCCAGGTGGGTTTTTGAACATCTCCAGAGATGGAGACTCCACACCCTCTCTGGGCAGCCTGTCCCAGGGCTCTGGCACCCTCACAGTAAAGTTTTTCTTCATCTTCAACCCCTTGTCCTGTCGCTGGCCACCACTGAAGAGAGTCTAGCCCCCTTCTCTTGACACCCACTTTTTAGATATTTATGAGCATTGATAAGATCCCCTCTCAGTCTGCTCTTCTCCGGGCTAAACAGACCCAGGTCTCAGCCTTTCTTCATCAGAGAGATGCTCCAGTGCCCTCATAATCTTTGTAGCCCTCCACTGGACTCTTTCCAGTAGTTCCTTGTCTTGAACTGGGGAGCCCAGAACTGGACACAGTAACAAATCTGTAGTGCAGCCCTACTCCTAAATAATATATGTGGTTCAGTGGATAGGAAACCATCTCGTGTGCTGATAGCTTGGGACTTTTGTACTCTATTCTGAAGTCTGGTGACGGCTACTACAACTTTGACATAATTTCCTACTTCGTTAGTTCTTATAAGGGATCCTGTTGGAGGACGGGGTCGAGCACACAACACCGCAGATCTGTAAAGAAGGCCTTTAGCTACATGATGTCAGTTAGATTTGCTTCTTTGTTTGTTTTTTGGTTTCTGAGAACAAAACATAGGCTGTGTTGACTCAATTGAGTCAAAAATGGCTCAGTTCAGTCTTTTTGCTGCTCTGACTTCTGGTGTTCCAAGCACATCATTGTCAGGTTGGAAACTTGGCAGCACTTTTAAATATTCCTGAAACTTTGCCTTGATTTTCATGTGATAGAGTCCAGAGTTGGACATTTCTAGAAGAAAATTGCAATTAAGTTTTATTACCTAAGCTTTTCCAATCAATTTCTACCTGACTTTAAGAGCTACTGATTTTGATTACTTTCTACTTAATATTATTGAATGTTAACTTAAATGTGTAAAGATTTTACATGATAGATGGTAAATGAAAACTTGTAGCATGCATGCAGATGATATTTGATATGTTCACTTTAAAGTTGTAGCTAAATTCCGGAGTTTTTTATTGATTCTTTTTCCTTTACCAGAATCGTGTAGAAATAAATGATGTAGACCCTGAAGTTTTTAAAGAAATGATGAGATTCATTTACACAGGAAAAGCACCAAACCTTGAAAAAATGGCTGACAATTTGTTGGCAGCTGCAGACAAAGTAAGTAGTTGACTCCTGAGTTCTCAAACCTGATGTTTGCTTGTGGAATGTTCTTCTACAAAGAAAATATATATTTTTTTTAAATTGATATGTATTTTATTTTTTTTTTAAATGTGAGAAACAGATCTCATCAGAAATTGAGAGATGGGAAAGAATAGACTTTGTTTAGCAGTAGAGAGCTGATAAATTTTCTTGACCAGAATTGTTCTAGATATTGTATTTACTATCCAAATTCTTTTATAAATTGGGGACTGTTAATATGATGTGGAAAACTGGTCTTGGAATAAAACGTATCCTAAACCTTTGTATTCTCGAAGAGGATTTATACAGGTGTTTGAATTGTGAGATCTTACCACTAAATGAAGTGGGTAAGATCTCGGCAGAAATGTATACAGCTGAATGAAACCTGTTCAGACAATGGTATCCTTCAAAACAGCAGCACAATTTATTTGTGCAAGATATAATATGGAAATGTAATTATTTTGCATCCATTTTCTGGTAGGCTGGGTCAAAGGTATACAGGAAATTAAGAAACTCAGAGATGGGGTTGGGGGTAAACTTGGAACGAGCTGCTTTCAAACAGGATAATGTATTTTACTTTGAGCAGTTTCATTAAACTTTCCATTGTATAATTTCTTGCCCCTTGCTTTGAGATGTAAAACTATCTAATGATGATTTTGATAAAGAGCCCATGTCTGTTCCTTGCTTTTCCTCCCTTACCAAACTGAAGGAAAATAAAAACTTCTAAATGTGTTATTTTTATTGTTTTAATAAAAGTTCTCCCAGTAAAGCATTTAATCAGTTTGTGTCAAACCTAATGCATGTCTTACCATTTTGAGGACTCTTCAATGCAGCATATAGAATTTTGAATTACCTGTTTGGAAGCAGTTTGGGAAGCACAAAGCATTTTCATGACTGGAACTGTCTTAAAAACTGTAGATATAACAGTAGAAAGAATGAGTTTGAAGAATGATTAGTGTAGTTTTTTCTTTTATCAGTATGCACTGGAACGGCTGAAGGTCATGTGTGAGGAAGCACTCTGTAGTAACCTCTCGGTAGAAAATGTTGCTGACATTCTTATCCTCGCAGATTTGCACAGCGCTGAACAGTTAAAAGCACAAGCAATAGACTTCATTAACAGGCAAGTAATATTTATGAGACTCTAAATACAATTGTATTTATGCTTTGTGTACCTTTTCAATATTAGCACAGTTCTCTCTTACAGGTGCAGTGTTCTTAGACAACTAGGGTGTAAAGATGGGAAAAACTGGAATAGCAAGTAAGTTTCCCTGCCTCACGATGTTCTGTACAAACACTGCTAAATAGACTGCAGATCTTAAGAACTGTTGCTTCATTTCCACACTACTGAGGCCAGTCACTGACTGTAAGTAAAGCAGGATTCAGCAGGTGCTACCCCAGCTATGATTGTAACTTCTCCTTTAGATAACAGGGAGAGTTAACTGCCCTCCAGTGTGAGACTGTAACAACAGCTCGTTTTCATTCCTCTCCTGGGGACGTAGCAGTGCTGTGAGATGTTGGCAGCAGCCACCACAAGAGAAAGGAAACAATTCTCTTGACTAACCAGGTTTGTGCCTGGAGGAGTGGCAACCCCAGTGAGGTTTCAAGACTTGCTTAGGTCAATCTGAGCCTGCAGTGCTGCCTGAGCCTGCAGTATTTCCAAAGAAAGGAGGGCAGTTGCTCTTTTTGCCTTCGGCGACATGTTTGTGCACCTTCCCACATGCCAGCACTAGTGTTCTCAAGGCCACACAACTCGTCAGTCAGGTCCCTCTGATCTGGCTGACTCTAAGTGCTCATGCCTACACTGGAAGTAGGTTGAGAATATTTGCTCAGACTGTAGAACTGATTGCGGCATGTATGTAGAACAGCTCAAGTGAATCATGGAATAGGAGACAGACAGATTCAAAACAGCTAATGGTAGGCTGAAACAGTAAAAGAGAAGCAGAGCTCTTCTTTCTTACTGTTATAATCTCCAGAGAAACTAAAAGCTGTGTTGTAGCAGTTATTTTAAAATTAGAGTGTTTCTCCTTTAAAAAAAAATAAAAGTCTTCACAGTCCTAATGACTGAGCATGATGTGGAAAAGGAAGAGGGTGATAGGAGAGAAATAGATTTTACTATTTCAGTAGAAAAGCTATAAAGAGAAGTCAGAATACATAACAGTGTAAACTAGTTGATGTGTTTCTTTCTCAAGTGATTTGGAATTTACTGAGCTGACTTCTTTCTTGGATAATTGCTGGTAGATTCTCATCATCTTTGCTTCAGCTGAAGCGTCTTACAATAAATCAGGGAAATAATGTGACAGGGCCTGGCTTAATTTACTGGTCCTGGGCACCAGGGAGTCTGAACTTTGGTATTGTTTCTGAAAGCACTTTACTGACTTGCAGCAGAAGATTAAAGGCTTGCATTAGAGCTTGCATTAGAAATCTGCAAAAGGTTTTTGAGAGATGGTATAGCGTAGAGCTCAGCTCCTAACTTTATGCTTGACAGTGTTCCTGAAATAGTACGAGAGCGTTCATGGAGGCTTTTGAAAATACAGGACAATGTAAACTTGGGGTTGATGCACAAGATGTTGGTTCCAAATTACAAATCTGTCCTGTGTCAATGTAACATGGATCCCAGCTGGTGCAATATTCATGTGCAGAGTGAATTTTGTGCTTTTGTTTTGTATTATTTCACAAAAAACGTAAATATTTACATTGAGTAACTACATTGTTTTTAATCTCTTGGATGTCAATGTAATACTTGCTGAAATATGTTGTTGCTTCTGTATTAGTTAAAAATCAACAGTGGCCACTGAAAGCCATTCTGAATGTAGTCCATGATCTTGTACTGAAGGAGGAGTGAATGTTTTCAAGTATGCTCCACTGGTACTCAGACTGTGAGCTCCCAGTGAGCGGTTCTGTAGTCAGCCAGCTAATCTGTCTTCACGGCTTTTTCTTGTATATGAACTACATCATTTTTACTGCTGTTTGAGCTGATTCATCGTGTCATCCTTCTCTCTCCCCAAATTGAGCATGCCCTTCTATGTAATGAGATTATCATGTCTTTCCTTGCTTTTCTTCTCTACACTAGACCTCATCTTCCTCCGGTTTCCTCTTATCATTTTTACTGTATTTCCTCAGTAATTTCAAGACGGTTATCTTAACACAGTGCCCAGTATTGGATGCAGTTCTCTAGCTGAAGTCTTGTTGATACTGAGGAAAGCAGAATTAGTACTCTATGTCCTACATGTGATGATATTAATATCCCCAAATTGCAATTTGCTGCTTTTTTCCAATGGCATCCTTACTGGCATTCATCAAGTCTGTTGTCCCGTAATGCTCAACTGCTCCTCTCCAGTAGTTCTTCCCTTGCCTGCTCTTCTCCACTGTGCATTTGTGCATTTGGTTTGTAAGATTGTGTGACTATTCTTAATACTTCTGTTTTCAGCCAAGCAACAGACATAATGGAAACAGCAGGTTGGAAGTCCATGATCCACTCCCACCCTCACTTAGTAGCAGAGGCCTTTCGCGCACTAGCGTCTGCACAGTGTCCACAGTTTGGCATTCCACGCAAACGGCTAAAACAGTCATGAAATCTTCCATGAACTTTAGAGAAATTGAATTGACTCTACTCCTCCATGTCCAGAGGTGTTTTCACAAACCATAACAAGAGTTTTTGTTATCCTTGTCCACAGAACAGAAGCTGAAAAAGCCTATTGTTTGCTTTTCAGATGGATAATTTATGGTTTAATCCTCAGCTTTAAATTAGACTGATTACTCTAATTCACTGAAAGGCCTTAAATTATCTTCAATGACTCTCTAGTCCATCTAGTCTAATGTATCTTGATTTTTTTTATTATTATTTTTTAACGTGCCTTGTCTTTTTGACTAGGCTCTGCAGGATTGCACTAGCTCCATAATGCAGTAAAGCTGATAACTGAAGATGAATTTTTGAAAGGGATCTTCCATTATTTTCAGAAGAAAAAAAAAAAAAAGATTATAGTTTGGTCCTGTGCTAACTGGAAGGTTTTAACTAGCCTCTCATTAAAAGCGCTTGAGCCAGAGGCACATAATGTACCCTAGACAAGTGCTAAATATAGAGAGAGCCTGTTTACCTTCAGCGAATGCCTACAGGCTATTTATGGCAATATACTGCTTTGAACATAATTTATTTTTCATTGTGGGGGCAAATATGCAATGATTTGGCCCAAAAATGTATTTTCATTACAGTTTGTAATGCTTATTGTGTGTGTGTCAAAGCTGTCCAAACAGGGAAGAAGAAACACGGAATAAACTTCTTGCTTGTGTTTCTTTACGGTCCATCATGAGTTTACATTTAATGCAGAACTGAATGAGAGGTAAAGAGTTCAATGTGAAAACAGAAGAGTATTGTATATGGAAAAAATATATCCCACGTGTATGGTTACATAGAAAAGTAAATTCATAGAATGACCAAATGTAAATTGAAGAAATGGGCCAAATGGATTCTCAATATGCACTTTTAATGTGTAACTTTTGTATGTTGTGTGGTACATATATATTTTGCTTTTGATGAATTAATGAGGTACAGGTAACTGTGGCTTAACTTTTTAGATACATTTTAAGATGCTCACAGCCACGGGGGATTTAGTTTTGTTAGAAAAGAGAGGCATGTCTTTTTAAGACTCAATTGAAAGTGGCTATCGCAAACTTTCCTATTTAAGGAACAGAATATTTTTGCTTATTTGAAAAAGGCATGTGAATGGTCAAATTTTGAAGGGATTTTTTCCCATCTTGATGTACGTGCACAGCTTCCATTAACACCTCAGGAGGTGATGTACACATCAAGAGGAATATTTCCCTGAAATGTCAGATGGTATTTGCAAGCAGAGACTTGCTCAGTCTTGCATTTCAGTTATTGTACTAGCATTGTGGATGGTATTGAAATTCTGCATAATGTGAAAAGGATGAAACATTTGTAAACTGCTTGTCACGGGCCAGTTCTTTATTCTATGAACCTTAGCTTTAATATCAACATCCTCAGTGTTTGATAGCTTTGTTTACAATTGGGAGGAAAAGTCTGCAGTAGTGCACACTCTAAATGTTTCCTGAGTTACTGCATTGAGTTTACTGTAATAGTGATAATATGCTATATTTCTTTTTTGGGAAGACTTGGGTTTAGCAGTGGGGAATGGGAGGAGATCTCACCTAATTTATAAGCATAAGGGATTTAGTTTGCCTATTAAAAAAAAAAAGTTATGCAGGGAGGAGAGAGGAAGAATTTCAAATTGTTTACTATCTTAAAATCTATCTCCATCCTCATTTCGTTAAGATTCATCTGAATTTCTCTGAATGAAATTTTTAGAGGAAAGAGTATATAGTTTTATACTTTGGCATCTAATAAACCATTATTAGCAAAAGTGAATTGGAAAAAAATGCCTGATCCAATTTTGAAGAATAAAACCTCTAAACATGCATTTTCTTACCTTCTAACTAAATCTTTATGACAGAAAAAGTGTAAAATCAGAAACTTTAATAGTACATAAGGCATCAAATTATATATTTACAGAAAATTATCCTTTTATCAATTTTTAAATATTTATCAAAATAAGGTGTCATAAGCATTCTTCATAAGACGTCAAGATAATTGTTCCCTGCAAAATAGTGATGTTTTTGCTGCACTGTGTAATGCGTTAGGACTATATATCCTCATACACGTCACTGGTAAAATTCGCAGCTCTAACATACAAAGTGACTTGAATATTTAATGCTACACTGATTGTCCAGTTCAGCTTGTTCTAAAGTAATATCATACAGTAATCAAATGGAAGGCTTAAGGACTTTCAGGAAAAACTTTTCTTTTAGAAGCTTAATAGCACACTTTGTACCAAAAAAATGTCAGACACTGTGCTGTAATATTATCTACATCGTAGAGTGCCCACTTTTCAAATCAGGCAGTGTGTACCACACATTACACTAAGAGGAGGAAAAAAAAGATAATTGATCTGTTTAAATTAGACTTTATTTATTATGTATGTTTTGAAGTTTTGTCAGCTCTTAAGAAAAAGGTAAAACAGTTGCTGTATTCTCAAGTGAGTGCACTAATCATTCACCTCTTCTATTCTTTAATTAACTACATGCAGTGTTCTCACTGGAACAGGATGCTGGTAATTACAACCTTCTTCGGATTCAGTAGCTTGTTTTTATTCCCCACATCTCAAGAGTCTGCCCTTTGTAAACCTCAGTTGTCAGTTCTAAGTGCAGCAGATATAAAGCTATCTAATAGAATGGACAGTTTTTTCAGGCTGAAATCTTAGGGTGGGTTTTTTTTTTTTCTTAGTTTTATATACAGATTAGGAATATTATGTATGAAGGTGCCACGTTTTGGCTTGCCAACACTACTCCCTCAGATACATGTGAACCACCGCTTTCATACTTCTTCTGGGGAGAACCCTGCATGTGTCCTGTGCGTGCGTGTGTATGACTGTGCGGTGTTTTTTGTCAAGAATGACTTTCTAAAAATAAGGACTCAATTTGCTGTTAAAATGCTATTATGTATTATATATATATATATTTTTTTTTCTCCATTTGAACATCTCCTAAGGAGATGCTTTAGGTGGAAGATGCTTCAAGAAATAATCCTTATTTCCTAGTCCATTTACTGCATGCAGAAGTATGAACACATTGTGCCTTTTCAAAGAAACTGTTGACATGAAGGGAAGATTTAACAGGATACAAGATCTTTTTAAAAGGTGTTTTTAGAAGTTAAGGAGAATGCTATTTGATACACGATCGAGACGGAAAAGTTACAAATTACTCATTTGAGCTCTGTTGCATGTTGATTCTTGCTTCCTAAATTCAATTTCACTGAGGTAGAAACAACACAAAAACAGTGGAATAAGTATTACAGACATAAGTTGAGTAATGGTCTATTTTTGTGAAACTGTGAAAATATTTGCTGTTACAAGATGAGCATATGTCAAAATGTGATAATCATGGACACAAAGTTAGTTTTACAAGTTACTCTAGTTCTGATGTTTTCCTAAACGTTGAGTATTTAGTATAAAATTCACCTTTACACAGGAGGTCAGTAGAAGACCTACATGGAGATTGTGTTCCTTTTAAATCCTCATGGAAAGATTTCTCCCTTGGGAGAATAAAACAATGTACAGTATTTGAAACTGTGTTTCATAAAAGACAGTGAATTGCAAGTGTGAGGTATTGCTAACATGAAATACTGTTGAATTTTGTTGAGCTTTCCAGTTGGTTAAAATTCCTAAGCTTAACTGGTTTATTACTTTGTAATTGACAAATGGAATGGTAACTGTCCTCTTTGTCTGGTGTTGATAGCATATCTAGTGCAGAGCGTAGCTCCTTAGCTAGCAAGACACTGACTTAGTCTCATAACTTGGCTTCTGCTTACAGTAAATGGACTGTAGTAAAGGGAATTCACTATTTCAAGTGTTTTGCAAGGAACTTCACCATATTTGTAACCTGGTTTTTGAAGGCTTAAGATCAATGAGTCCTATTTTAGAAATTAAACCAGTGAAATGACTTAGACCTGTTTTGGGGTGGAAATGATTAAGAGAATTCAGATATGTAAACAGTTGTATCAAACCATCCAGCCTTTTTTTATCAGCTGATGTTAATGGTGAAATACTTTTTGTACCTTGTTGCTGAAAATATTTTTGCGTTTCAGCACATCAAGTTACAATAAAGTTGTTACTTATACAGAATGTGTCTGTGTGGCTTGTATTTGTTTTTTTTTTTTCTTATATATGTTCATAACGGCTACTTTTGCTTCTCTCTTTTGAGAAAGGTATTTTACCAGTGCTGTCAATCAGTCTAGTGTAAAATATACTGCTGTCCTTTTGGAAACCTTTCTTGGGGAGGATCATACTGCAGTCTTGCTTTGATCTTCACTAACTTTGTTATTTTTCCATTTTGACACTTTCAAATAACTTAGAGCTCTGAACAGCTTATAACTTGCCTGCCTGAGAAATTACTGCCTTTACACAGCCTCTGTCAGAACCAATACTCGGTGGGAAGAAGAGTTGATCCTGTGGTAATGAAGATGGGCTTCATGGTTTCTAAGAGATTTGATTCCTTTTTCCACATACCATTGAAACTGTGTTGTTTTGGGGGGTTTTTTTTGTGGCTTTTTTTTCCTGTCAAGGAGTATAGGCTTATAATGACCACATACAACAGGAAAATTGCCCATATTTGTTATGGGGGAAGTTGTATGTAAGAATAATCTATATGGGTAGCTCATGGGGTTCAATATGTTTATAGCTATTTTGCAAAGATATGTAGGATTGTTGATATCCTGCTCTAGGTATATGACCCTGGACGTGCTGAGCTCTGGAAACTGGTGGTGTCAAGGTAAGTTACTTTTTTATAAAGTGATGCAGGCCACTTGAACAAATGCAGTTACCTGTCTTGTGTTGTCTAGGCTACGGCGAGAATGTGGCACCATCGACCGTTGCGGTTCTTCCTAAGATGACTTGGGTAACAAGTAAGGATACAGAGTGGTCATCACAGGGCTGTCTTGGGTGGCTCAGCATAGCACATCACTGTTTTGTGTGTACGTACGTGCAAAATTCTCCATGTTTGCTGAAAACATACATCCCTTAAGTTACTCTGCAGTGATTCAGCTTAAAGTTCCTCGTGGGGCTTATACCACCAGTGGCATAAATGACACCTTCACAGGTTGTTTCGGTAACCTCCAAGGCAAACATGACTGGTTACGACTGTGAATGTAATCAAAGTTATTTGTACAAGTCCAAAGTTTTGAACTGAGCTTCAACTTTTAGGTAAAGAATGTTGAACTTCTTTTTTTTTTTTTTTTTTTTTTTTTTGAAAAAAAAAAAGCTATATTTTTATGCTTAGTCTTTCTGAACTAATTTTTCTTCTGAGGTGTTATCATCATACAGAAGTCTTCCTTGTTATTCAGTGAAACAAATTCAATTAGCATTGATTTTAAAAAAGCACTTATTTCCTTCTAAAATGAATTCTTTTAGTCTTCTGTGTGGAAACCAGGCACTTAAAGCTTTTCCTCATTTTAGTTCAATGCTTCTGTTGAAAAAAAGAAAGTATTTTGTGATGTCAATCTATCTGAATCTTGGTTTAACTAAAATATTACTAGTAATTTTAGCAGCTTTCTGAGAATTCTCATTTGAAGTCCCATGTGTATCCTTCTCTTCCTTTAAAAGGGGGAAGCTCCAATAATGAATCTCAGTTAGTAAGACTTACCATTAGAGTAAAAAGCATCTCTCACTCTACAGAATTGCCAGCCCTGCCTTACGCTGAAGGTGTAGTTTGATGTCCTACTGAGTAGTGCCAGCTTAAGCAGTCCCTGTTACTGCCACTAGAAGAAAAGTATTTCAAAGTGCAGCCTGAGCAGTCACAGGTGAGAAACACTGATTAAAGTGTGTCTTTGTGCCACCTCTCCAGACTTCATAGTTGTTATTGACTGATCTTAACTTTACCATGATAAATTCTGATTTATTCTAAGATCTTACCTAACTTACTGTTTTATTTAATTAAGAATTCAGTAACTTTAGCTATGTTCTATATGGAAGAATACAACCTTTTAAAATTAATGTTCTTCTATGTTTTAGGTGAGTTCTATTACAATTGCCTCTTAAGAGTATTGCCCATTCTACTACAAACTTCACTTGCAGTGTTTCTTCAGGAAACTATATTAATGATCAAACTACTTCCAGTAGTTACACAAATAACTTTGCACTTAACATTGTGATAGTATGGTAGTAGATGAAATGCTGTTAATTGCTGTTAAAATTAGAGGAGTTTTGAACAGTTTATCTTTCTGCAAACTTCTTGGTAATTTTCCACTAGAAGAACATGGTTTTATTGTTGTCTCTTTTGAAGATTCCTTCTTTGTTCTCTCAGAGAAAGCTGGAAGAAATACAAGTGGAGAAGTTGAATCAAGCATTTGAGATGTGTGATGCAAAGGACTTGATTTTTCCACTACAAGCACTGCATCTAGGCAAAAAGAACCCCAGACTCGGCTGTGACAATTCATGAGTGCTTTGGAATAGAGATGACATTCCAGGGGTTGTCAAATAAGTTATATTTTAAACGGGATGTGAAGTTGATGCTTTAAGTGTGAAATTGGGTTTCTCATAAGTCAAGTATAAATAACAGAAATGAGCTTGTGATTCAAGAGTTAGGAGGGAAAAAATAATTTTGCAGAGTTTGCTTGTCCTTG